TAGTTTAATTATAACTTAACTACTACCTACCTACGTGTGTGAGTGTATATATATATATATATATATATATGCAATTTACAGCTAATTTTTCATTATTTCCTATTAAACAAGATGTGATTGAATGTGCATTACAGTTAACTCAATCAACAAACTAATCTCTAACTTCCAAGTGAAAAGTAATATTATCTATGCTTTATAGCAAAATATGATAAAAATTAATAAGCCTTGCAAGTTGGATCACGTGGAAATATCATCCTTCTCCAGCAACTTCTATATTTCAACAGATTTTTAATGAAACATGGTGACCAAGAAATTATTGACCATTAGTAAAAGTATAAAATGTATGAGATACTTTGAAAGAATGTGAATGAGAATCAAGAAATAAAGTGTGCTTTGTTGAATGTTTTTTTCTTGTTAGGGAAGGGTAGTTGCTCTTTATTTAGTTTTTAGGAAGAAAGATGTTTTGGTAGTGATGTATGCTAATTCTGTTTTTTGTGTACTTTTCTCAGAACCTGGCTTGGGTGAAGACCTTCAACATTTGTATTGAGTTAGAAGAAAACCAAGCAATTTTCTGCAAGCTTTTTGCACTTATGTTCAACATTGTCAAGTAAGTAAACAAAGCATAGCAGTGAGAATGACTGTGACCTCTTTCAAAAGTTATTAAACATGGTTATGAAGTACAAAAGTTATATCAGTACAGTTATGTGTGAAAGCAAGTTCCATTGCAGATTTATCACAGACAAAATGAGGCTACTCAAGGTCCTACCAAGGAAGATTTGTGGGGGCAACAACATCTCTAGAATCCATGTCAATTAACAAAGCTATAGTTTATTATAATTGCAGAATAAATTTCAATGCATACTGTAGTAGAATTGTTAACTCTCTTAACACGGGGTCGGTCAATTTGATCGAGTCACGTGACCTTTTGCACTCATTTAAAGTCTTTATAAATTTAATACTTATAACTCAATATATTGGGTATATCTTCACGAAATTTGGCAGTCTTTCAGTTAATATTGCATGTCTTTCACATACAAAGAGTCATATTTCTTAGTTAAGTAATTTTAATAAAATATAAAATAGATTTGTCCATGAATATATTGAGTATTTGTTTTGAATAGTCCATATGCAAAGTAATTTTCATGTTAAAATTAAAAATACTTTTGTCATCTCAAAAATCTTAATTTTTCTTTGTTTAATTTCTAAAACCTCCTAAATGCATTTCAAAGTTTTTTTTTTCAGTAACACTTTATAGTTGATTTGTTATTTTCTCTGCCCTATCTCAAAACGAAATCAGTCAATACGACCAACCTCGTAACCACCACAAAAAATCGAAATAAACCTAAATTAACCTTTATTTCTTTCTAGAATAACTTCAAATTGTAACATGAAACTACATTCGTTTATCCTAAGTAGCTCTAAGTTTGTAACATTATACATATCCTTATAATTAGATTTTATGTTTTATTGCCCTTTGAACAGTGTTTAACTACTATCAGAGCCATTATATTATACTTTTCATTAAGACATTAGCATTAGGCCTATTATATTTTTTAACACTTCATTATTTACATCATCTGCTGTTATGCCTATAACTTGTTCTTGTGGAGCAATTTTGGTGATTTTAGGTTAAAAATGTTTCATTTATTACTGTATACACCTTTTCAATTTATATTTTTAGGTGTATGATACATATTAGTAAAAGTATCAAAGGCAATAACCTTGAAGTGTATATCTTGAATAACCTCAATATTGTTGCAGGGTAAGACTGAAATATCTTATTCCATACCACTAACTGTTAATTTCCTTTACCCTCTCTTTCTCTGAAATATTTACTTATCAGTGGACTCCTAAGTTACCCTTTTCTTACATACACAGAAAAGCCCCTTTTTTATACACAGATGTTTAGAGAACCTGGGTTTACATAAAGAAGTAAGTAATATTTCTATACATACATACATACAAGAAATATTAGAATAATAAAATAAGCTAAAAGATAAAAATTAAAAGGAATGTGAAATGAAACAAAACATCTACAGTTTGTGATTTTTATTATAAGTATTAACCATTGAACCCTGTTATCCTTACATTCTTATGTTATGTCTTACATTCAAAATTTTATTGAACGACTTTTTGTTAATGTTATACCAATTAGAATAGCATAAAATCTTAGGTAATAATCCATATTTTAATAGTATACAATTTTTAAGTTCTTAATTCTACAAGGAAATATAAAAAAAATCCTGCATTTACACTAGTGTGATCCACGTGACACATTTTTTTTAGCATGTCATCATCCCTATTTTATCCAACACCTCTCTAAAATCTTTGTTGCTCAAACAAATT